AAATATTGGTCAGGTTTATTGTAATGACTTTTTATTTATGAATTTTTAATACACGTTTGGATCTCTGTTTTCCCGTCACACTTTACACAAGTGTTAGTTAGCTTGTGCAAAAAAAAAAAAAAAAAAAAAAAAAAAAGAATTATGTTTATTTGAGATTTGCGAGTGTTTTTTCCCACATTTTATTGTTTTTTGTCGTTTTTTTTACTGATATTCATGCATGTCTTTGCTAAATGTTAGTCACGTTTATTGTAATGGCTTTGTCTTTGCTGAGCTTTTACTACACGTTTGCCCGGTTGATGTAGATGTTGGTTTCGGCTTGTTGTTTTCACGGGTATTTTACTTCTTCATTTGGCTGATGGTATTCCTGCTGTTGTTGTTGATGATGATGGTGGTGAAAGTGATGATGAATGATGATGGTGATGTAGATGATGATGATGATGGCGGTGGTCATGGTGATTAAGATGATGATTATGATTATGATGATAATGATAGTAATGATAAGTATAATGTATTGATATTGATTATGATGTTTAATGATACCATGTTTGATGATGAAGATAAAGACGATGATGATGATTGATGATGATGAAGATAAAGACGATGATGATGATTGATGATGATGAAGATGATGATGATGATACCGATGACAGTGGTGTAGTGCACGATGCCGCCAAAAACTTATAAAAGCAGAAACAATTAGTGCTTTTAGTCCCAATCACTTCATGCGTGTGGCAGCGGTGTAACTTCCGGTTGCGCTTTGTAATTTTGATGTTTTTAGTGTTGCTATATTCGCATCTGACATGGCAGGGGAAGTTACACTGTTATTATTGTGAATAACGCGTGCTTGAGATTGTTGCACTTTTTGCAAAAAAAAAATTATTGTATGTGAATGAATGGATCAATGAATAAATATGTTAATTAATGAGTGAGTAAATAAGTGAGTTGATAATTAAAGAGTTAATAAGTGAATTGATGATTAAAAAACGAATAACTGAAAATAGAAAAAGAAAAACAGTAATATGACATAAAAATATTCAGATTATTTAATTTGGCCGTTAATGACCTTGGCTGTTGACGCGGTAGATAATTTTGAATAATAATTATTTGATTTGGGTTATAATCAGGATTGTAACGTTTTCCTGAACAGTATTACCAATCCACTTTACGAGTAACACACTAAACTGAAGAAGAATGCGTCCATCCTCTCTGTCGCGTTTTTTTCGTTGTTTTTCCTTTACACCATTTACACGCACGCGCACATTCACTCGCACACGCGCACACGTACACTCATATTCACATTCACATTCACATTCACACACACTCACACGAACACGCACACGCACACACACACACACACGCAACACACACACGCACACACAACACACACACACACACACACACACACACACACACACACACACACACACACACACACACACACACACACACACACACACACACACACACACACACACACAAAGTCACCATGATTAATTTTGGCTTGTATTACTGAACTTTTCTGAATAAATGGCGTTAACGGCTTCTAGAAAAAATAGATAACATCGTGATGGATTCACTAGTAAGTTTGTTTTCAAAGAGAATAAGCGCACAAGACAAAAATGGCAGCTGTCCAGGCGTTGAGGGGAAACTCGTGTAATTCTGGCTCATAGGAATCGTTTCATTTACACAAACCCAGTTGTAAAACCGACTCTCTTGATTTTGTTAAACGTGATTTGAAGCAGATATTGTATAAGGAAACGGTATCGAGGCACATTATTATTATTTTTTTTTTACGTCGTGCGAAACAGACATGCGTACATGTGTATACTGTTCCTGTATGCAAGGATTTATACCTGCATGCCTGCATACATACATACATCCATCCATCCATGCATACATACGTACATCCATGCATACATATATACATCCATGCATACATACATGCATGCATACATACATGCATACATACATGCATACATACATACACACGTGTATGTACACGGGATGAAGTGAAATTTGTTTTTTACTAAACACAATTACACAGACCGCAACAGCAAGCCGGTTGTTGGGTCATGAGGACACAGAGAATTGAATAACTATTGAATAAAATTAGGACAAACAAGCAATGGGTTAGCCACTTCCCCTAAATAATCATGTCTTTTCGAATAAGTCATCTATGTGTGACTGCCCTTTAAAAACTCGTATGCTATAATGAACCGTTTTATCGAGTAGTTCAGTTTGACGGTGTTGAAAATGAGTCGTATGGGTTTGAATTAGAGGAAGGGTTGTGGGATTTGTAAAAACGAACGAAAACGAATAAGGAGTGACCGACAGACAATCCCGCCTTTTACTGTTACCGGCGGAGTTTTTTTTTCCGCCGACAACCGCCAAGTGCCATGTGAAGATTCTAATGTCGGTTTCCCACCATGATGCGCTGAAGTTTCCTTTGTTTTGTGGGAAGCCGTTGCTGCGCTGTAGGTTTGTTTATCCCTTGTGTGGA